GAGCCCAGGAGTTGGAGGTTGCTGTGAGCTGTAATGCCACGGCACTCTACCCAGGGGGACAGCTTGAGGCCCTGTCTCAAAAAAAAAAAAAAAGAACTAATAATCTAGTTAAATAAAGTTATAAGATATAAAAATCAGTTACATTTCTACACTTACTGCACAATTACCTGAAAGAGAAATTAAAAACAATCTCATTTTAATGGCATTTTAAAAAACAATAAAATACTTTGGGATAAATTTAACTGAAGAGGAGAAAGGTCACTGAAAGACATTGAAAACTATAATAATTGAAATTGAAAAAAAAACATAACAAGTGAAAAGATATCCAGTTTCCTTGAATAGAAAGAATTAATAATATTAAAATATCCACACTACCCACCTATAGATTCAATGCAATCCCTATCAATTCTAATGAAATTTTTCACAGAAATAGAAAAAAAAATCCTAAAATGTATATGGACCCAAGAAAAACACAATTAGCCAAAACAATTATTAGTATTAACAAGAACAAAGCTGGAGAGATTAAACTTCCTTATAAATACATGTAGTATTACAAAGCTATGGTAGTCAAAACAGTACAGTACTAGCATAAAAATAAGCACATAGACCAAAAAAAGAGAATAGAGAGCCCAGAAATAAACCCACACATATACAGTCAATGAATCTCTCACAAAGGCTTCAAAAATACACAATGGGAAAAAAGCTAGCCTCTTTAATAAATGGTTTTGGAAAACTGGATAGCCAAATGGAGAAACAACAAAATGGGATCCTTACCTTCTACCATACAAGCTCAAAATGGGTTAAAGACTTAATTATAAAGACCTGAAACCATAACATTCTTAGAAGAAAGTGTGGGATGAAGCTCCATGATATTGGTCTTGGCAATGATTTTTTGAGTGTGGCATCAAAAGCACAGGCAACATAGCTCAGCGCCTGTAGCTCAAGTGGCTAAGGCACCAGCCACATACACCAGAGGGGGTGGGTTCAAATCCAGCCCAGGCCTGCCAAACAACCATGACAACTACAACCAAAAAATAGCCAGCCATTGTGGCGGGCACCTGTAGTCCCAGCTACTTGGGAGACTGAGGCAAGAGAATCCCTTAAGCCCAAGAGTTGGAGGT